CCTCGGATTTCTAGAATCATCGATTCAGTTGCACACGAGTTGCAGCCCGTTGCACACAGACTGGCGCGCCAGTTCGATCCCTTCTCGCAGATCGCCATTTCGGCCGCGATGGTGCTCGCTGCCTACGTCGGTTACACCGTCATCAACCCTAAGCAAGAGGTTTCGATTGACAAGAAGGATGAAGATGCCGCATCCACACTCGAGCACCTCTTCCTCGAAGACGCGGACACTGAGGAAAAGAACGTCAGTATCGCTTCGAATATGGAAGGAGAGCAGAGCGAACACCTAACTGAAACAGACTCACAGCGAGATGATTACAATAAACGCTTCTCCCTGTCGGATTTCTCAAGCGTCACGGCAGTGAGTACCTTGAGTGACTCGAAGAGAGGGACGCTCCTCAATTGGGGAAAGCAAGAGAGTCCATCCACAGATCTCGATTTCGCCGTCCGTCCGCCAGACATTCGGCCACACCGGAAAAACAATCGATTTAGTGTCAAATACCACGCGAAACCGGATGATCACCATGACCAGAATGGCAATACGAACTTTTATACTCTTTCCAATTTGAACGATGCTTTTGAAGCGACGGAGACTTATCCCCAGTTCGAATTCGTCTTTCCGGGTGAGATTAACCGGCCTGATCCGAACGAGAGGTTTGCGCAGGTCGACGATCCACTGTCTGTGATCGATGCTGTTTCAGATCACACCCCAGTGGCAGTTAATATGGAGTCCATGAACTTGTATTCTTTATTAACCAGTGATAAGCTTGCTGTCGTCGACTCCTCCAGCAGAAACAAAACGCCTGTACCTTTTATTTATTCCAGTAACTGGTTAAATGACCGTCAGCCAAGCACAGATGACGAGAGAAATGATTATGATGCGATTAACAATGCCAGTCAGTACGATACAGCCCAGCATAACAATGACGACGACCCCTATGCTGCTGTTACACTCGAGTTCCACTTTGAAGATAATGCTACACAAAACGGTAACTTAAACACAACACAGCCTATGAATCCGCAGCGAATCGGTCTGTTTCCCTTGGACAGAACTCCAGTGTCTGTGAATGGAAGTCGAATGGAATATACTGATAGCACTAAGCATACCGTTAGTGAGAAGAATGACGCTCCCGATGCTGTTCCAAGTGAGAGTAAACAGAAGGACGTCTCGGGTCCTTCCTTTTTCGAAATCATCACGTCGGGTTACCAAATACCAAACAAGGGGACACAAAATGATATGAAGTACAGTGTTAGTCCAGATCGGCCGACGAGTGTGGACCAAAAAACTCAGCAAGCACAGCCTTCGCCAACTCCGATGCTGACAAACCAAGTACAAAGTCATTCAGATTATCAACATGTGGATGATATTACGACGAATTACGTGCAGTCTGTAGATGACAGGTTGCACAATTCTACATTGCAATATGGAGAGGCCTACGATCCACAGTTATTTAGTGATGAGGATGCCTTGATGCAACAGAGTGAAATACTGAATTTCTTGTTAAAAGAGATCGCCATAGGACACCTTAAACAGCAAATTAGAACTACAGAATACCCTCTGTTGCAAAACGGAAACCTAGATTATAAAAGTCAACAAAATCTTCATTACAGACCACAGCAAAACGGATTTTTGAATCACAATTTACAAAGTTCGTTTTCGGGATACGGTGCGCAGGGTGGGATGCAGAGTCATCTCCCACAGCAAAGCGAACCCATAGTATTCCAAAACCAAGAAAATGCGATTAATCCTCTCCAGCTAGAGCAAACCAACACTGATTCTAGTTACCAACACCTAAATGAAGCAGTGCATTTTCAACACGACAGAATCACAGGCTCTCAAAAGCAACATTTGAACGAACTGTCGGGGTATCAGGAACAGCAAGACGAAGCTATATACCAACAGAATAGATACCCGAGTTCCCAGGAGAATAAGAGTGACATCTATTATCAGCTGCAGATCACTCCTTCTGGCAGTGCGGGGTCATCAAGTGCCACCCAAGTGTACCAGTCAGGGCCAAACAGTGACACGGGGAACTACCATCAAGAGACTCACGGAGTAAACGAAATGAACAATCCACAAAACGAAGCAGATTATACCTTAGACGATGAAAGTTTTGAAGCTCTCTTGGAATTCGCCAGGCGACAGTTGGCCAAGGGAGAGCCTGGTCAGGTCACGCCCCAAGTCACCTCAGGTCACCCCGGGTTAAGTGTCTTCTCCCATACCGATTCTCGTCCTTCTCGCGATCCTGTGGGAGAATTTGAGGAGCTTCCTTATATTCCCGGAGGAGGAAATACCGCCCAGAGTTTGGATTTCGCAGGTGCGGTTCCTCTTGACCCACACGGCGCTAAATACCCCGGTAACACGAACCAGGCAGGGGTGGATGCAAGGCCAAATCTGCTTCCAACTTCTCAAGATGATTTTTGGAACATGAATAACGAAAATGAATACTGGGAAGGCCAACAGGACATGGATTCTGGATTCTCTAAATTTGATGATAACGAAAACAGCGACATGGGTGACGGCACGAACACCACCGCAGGAAGTCACAGTTATGACGAGCTGGACCTTCTGGCTCTCCTCCTCTCCCAGAAAGGTACTCTCAAAAGACCGACAGTCGCAGGAGACACGGTAATAGTAAACGGCCAAGAAGGAACGATCGATAACGAAAATAGGAATTATACACAACCGACAGCTCAAGCATCTGTTAATTTCCTTAGCGGGAACGACCACAAAGCAGACCACAAGCAAGAGTACCTGAACCGCGGGAACAACAATAACAAAAACGGAGAACAACCCTATGGTAATGCGTACGAGTGGGATGACCAGCCGACTATTAACGATACGCAAACTACGAATAAACCACTTTGGCCGAACAGGAGCAAGATAACCGCAATTACTCCAGTTCCTGAGAGTCTGGTCACGTGGGTGATTCCTCAGAAGATATCGACGTGGAGCACCCTCTCAGATGGAAGGGTATCCCCTGTCGACGGGGAAGAAAATGGAACGACGCCACTGCCATTCTCAGAGGCGTCCGTGCCAAGTACCACGACCAGTACCACCACCGGCCCACCATCGACAATCTACGAGTACGATTCGGCGTCAGCAGCCAGCGCCCATTTGACAGAGTTGCCGTCCTTCGTCCGAATGAGTTACCCGAGCGTGCCACCGTCTACCAGGACGACCCGAAGACCTGCCGACCTGGACCCGACTAGACCCAGAGCCAACGGCAAATTCAAGAACACGCCGTCAAGCACGCTGCTAGAACTACAGGGAGGCGATGAGGAAGGAACCGAAATACCCACTACTTTGCCTGGTGAAGACTTATTCAATCAGCAGTCCTCGATTTCGGAAACTTCGGCCGTCACATTACAGAGCCCTGGAAACCCCTTCACTGCAGAAACGCCCTACACACCACCGCCCTTAAGGAAACAAACTCGATACCTCACAACAACGACCGAAGTCAATTCCTCTTCGAAACTCAAGCCTTCGTTCACGATTGGCTTCGTCGCCACGGAGTCGACCCAACACGAACCAACGTACGAAACACACGCACCAGAAGGAGACACGACCCCACCGAACACCTCTACACCACTCAGTCCTTACGCAATTTCCCACGACCATTACGCAGACACCACGACCTCGCAGACTGCCAACACGGTATCAGAGGCAACGAGACGACCTTCTACCAACACCGCAACTCCTACCACCACCTCCTCTTCGATAGGTGACAAGGAGGCGGCCAAGGAAGTGATGAATGCTGTCAGTTTAGTCAACAGGTTCTTATGCCGTCATGCAGTCAACGAAAAGGCATGTGTGTTGTGTCTAGAGGAGGTTGGGATACGGAATGAATGTTACAGTAGGAGGCCGTAGTTGTTAAACAATCTTTAGGAAGGGCATTAGAATAGAGATTTCGTTTATTTGTATTGTTTTCTTTGTATTGTGCGTTGGGCGAATGCAGTCGAAATAACGTTGGTTAAAAGGTCGATGTATAATTTGAGAAAAATAGAAATTGACTATGCTGATTGATGTATATATATTTATTTTTCCCCATAGAGGAGCGTTTGGGTTATATAAATATGTAACAAAAGATGCACATAGCATGTTCATTACTTTGTAGTGAACGTTAAAATAATTTGTCTAAGCAAGGCTTTTGTAGTAGTAAAATTTATCAGTTATTTTTTCCACGTTGCTTCGGTATGTACACATATAAGAATATTTTTAAAGTTATATCTATAAATAAAAAGAAATCTTGACGGAGATATTACATTATTTATTTCCTGGCATTTTCGCCTTTAATAAAACTCCATATTACTGTTATATATAATTTTTTTTACAATATTTCTACCGTTAGCATCTGTGTTTCAATCTTTTAATTTTCTAAATTTTCGCTGTATTTCTTCATTCGTTCAAAAGAAAATATAGTTATTTTTGATCAGTAAAATTATAAAGGGAAGTTTGGCCATATATTTATAGAATGATATTGAGATATGATTAAATGACACTGTATTCTAAGTGTCAGTGAGAATAGTTGATTTTGATTGTAGAGATAAATATATCACAACAGCAAATTATCTGACTATGATATTCTTCTACCAATAGAAAGTAATAATATTCTTGGTTTTCAAAGTTCTTTAAGACTGATGTTTCGTCATACTTTTACTTCTATCCATAATTTGCATTCTTAATCGTATGACTTTGTTTCCTGTTTCTAAGGTAGTTTCATATTCAAGTCTAGTCCTATCTCCGTATCGCCACTCTTGGCATATTCTTTCATATCTCGTTGAAATCACCATGTCTAGGAAATATGGACACGGACCTTATGATGCAAAATCCCTCACTAAAAGGAATGAGATTAAGTTGGGTGCAAAAGCAGGGGCCTTTTATGATGTTTATGTGTCAATTTCTACATACTAAATAGGTTGTTATACTCAACCATTGAGAATAAGATACATGTTTTTTTTTTTTTTTTTTTTACTTTTATTGCAAAAATATACATCGCAGTATGTTACAATTTACAAGTAATGCTAATACTTCTGTATGTATACAGGAGTTACCATACTAACACATTTAGATTACATTAGTACTTGAGTTTTGTTTTCTAATAATCATTTACAATAATGATAATGTATGCATGGCAGTTTTATATATTTATGCACCACTTCCTCTCTCTTTTTTCTTTTTCATTTCTTCTTAAAAAGACTTTGTGTAAACGAACAGCATACGATGTCCGTGAACTGTGAATAATTCATACTGAACGGACAACGAAAGAGAGAATAACAAAGACACGAGAATAAGCGTTTTTCCTCCTTCCCATTGCTCCGTCTAGAACACCCACAACAGAACGCATTTAACCCGAGTACAAGAGCGTCGGCCAGTGGCGCCTATCCCTCAGATCCACAGGGAAATATTCGGTTCTGTTCGGCTGAAACTCGGGCTTCTCGAGGCACAAGCCCCTCCGCGTCCACAGCTCCTCCGGGACGCCGAGTCTCTGGAAGACCTCGCTCTCCCTCCTGACGAAGACGTAATCCGCGATGGCGTAG